GATTCCTCCTCCTCTAACCCTGAACCCCCAGGGTCTGATCCTTGAGTGTCCGTACTGACTAACCGTTCGCTAGTATCCGATGGGGCAGACGCAAGCGAATGCCTGCCCACGCTCGATCTCCTACGCAACTGGTCGATGTGCCTGTGCACTACCTCACCGTCGGACCCCTTTACTTTAAAGTTACTCGTACCGAGCACCTCTACTACCTGCCCCGGGATCCATTTCTCTCCTTTAAGGTATTGCCTATACCAAACTGTATCGGACTTGTCGAAAGCCCGATTGGCCCCGCTTGCCGCCTCCTGCTGGCGCTGCTGCGCACTACGCACTTGGTTCTCCCGGTCCGGTCTAATTGCGTCGAGTCGGGTTCGTATGGGCCTGCCGAGTAAGAGCGAAGCCGGGCTTTCGCCTGTCGTACAGTGTGCAACATTACGGTAGTAAATAAGAAATGACCACAGAGCCCTGTTTACGTCCCGCTTCTCTTGCAGCGCTTTTTTAATTATTCTCTTAAGCGTTTTTACCGCGTTTTCGGCTAACCCGTTCGACGACGGGTGGTACGGTGGAGTGAAAATATGTTGTATTCCGTTGTATCGGTTAAAGAAGTCGAACTCTTTCGAAGCGAACTGCGTACCGTTATCCGTGACGATCTGTTTTGGTATACCGAACCGACTGAATAACTCGTTCAACCGATCAATTAAATAGTTCGCCGATACCCCCGTCATATGGAACACTTCTATCCATTTCGACATCGCATCTACTACGACCAAAAAAGATTTTCCCCCTATTGGACCCAAAAAATCTAGATGGAGGCGGGTCCAGGGCCGCGCGGGCCAGGGCCACATGCGAGGTGTCTGCCGCGGCGGCGCATCGGCCTGCCCCGCACACACCTCGCACTCCCGGCACGTTCGCTCCACCGCCTCGTCCATGCCTGCCCACCACACATAGCTGCGGGCAAGCGCTTTCGATTTTACTATCCCCATGTGCGGTTCGTGAATTACTTTTAAAATTTGACTTTTACATTTTTCGGGTACCACCAACCGGTGGCCCCACATAACACACCCTAATTCCTCGTACAACTCATTTCTCCGATTCCAATACGGTTTTAAATTTGTTAACTCACATTGCGCGGGCCACCCGTCCCTTATGTACAGTAACACCCTAGCCAATATCGGATCACGTACCGTTTCTCGTTTGATCTCATTGTAGTCTAAACATAATGACTCCTGGACACAATGTAAATACGTCTGTTCGGGAGGTGTCGGCTCACTTTCCTTATTACCGCCGATCGGCAACCGCGACAGACCGTCCGCACTATTTTCCTGAGTTCGGACGTACTCGATGTCGAACGAGTAAGCCGAAAGAATAATTGCCCAACGCTGCATACGACTAGCAACCATTGCGGGGATACCCGTGTTCGGTCCAAAAATTGACACCAGGGGTTTGTGGTCTGTTCGTAAGGTAAAATGTCGGCCGTATAAATATTGGTGAAATTTATTCATGCAAAAAATTATAGCCAATGCCTCGCGGTGAATCTGTGAATAATTTTTTTCGGCATCGGTCAGCGTGCGCGACGCATACGCAACCGGGCGCTCGCCACCGCTGCCGGCGTCGATCTGCGTCAGCACGCCGCCGATGCCCCGCCCGCTTGCGTCGCACGTTACTACTAATGACTTCTTAGAATCATAGTGGGCTAGAGTGTCCACACTACTTAATATTTTTTTTATTCTTATAAACGCATTTTCACATTCGGACGACCACACCCACTCTTTATCTTTTTTTAACAATTCATATAATGGAACCAATCTACCACTCATGTTCTTTATAAATTTACCATAAAAATTTAAAATACCCAAAAAGGAACGTAGTTCCGAAACATTACTCGGCCTTGGTAATTTCACAATGGCTTCAATTTTAGTTGGGTCCGTTTTTATGCCATCCCTACTTATTATGTAACCTAAATAACGAATTTCGTTTACAAGAAACACACACTTGTTAGTTTTTAACTTCAGGCCAGAACTGTGTAGTCTTCTAAAGACCTCCTGTAATGCCTCCAAATGCTCGTTAATACTTTTGCCGCCGATAATCACGTCGTCTAAAAAGATCTCGACATTTGAAATTCCGCGTAATAGGTTGCACATAATGCGCTGGAAAATTCCCGGACTCGACGCCAAGCCGTAAACCAACCTATTATACCTATATAGTCCCCTATGCGTATTGATAACGGTATATTTTTTTGTATCGTCTAGCTCAACCTGGTTATAGGCCTGTGACAAATCAATCTTAGAAAAGAAGCAAGCTCCGCTTAACCTAACCATTAAGTCTTCGATCCTCGGCAAGGGATATCGATCGATTAGCAACACCGGATTTAATGTTGCTTTATAGTCAGCGCAAACCCTCAAGGATCCGTCCGCTTTATTTACCGGTACTAGAGGCGAAGCCCAATCGGAGCAGTCGACGGGCTCGATGACGCCGTCGCGCAGCATGCGGTCCAGCTCGGCGTCGACTCGCTCGCGCAGCGCGTACGGCAGTGGCCGCGCACGGTGAAACACCGGCGTCGCCCCCTCCCGCACGCGCAGTGTCGCCTTACCGCCCGTAAAGCGACCGAGTCCGCCACTAAACAACTCCTTATACCTAGAACACAGTTTATTTAAATCATTAGACCATTCAATTTTTCCATCGTTCAAGCCTATTTTATGAAAATTACTTAACATCGGGACTTTTATTTTTAACTCAGAGAGCCACTGTCGCCCGAGTAGCGATGTATTGCCGCCAGTAATAACAAATAATTCTAACCTTTTTTTGTGTTCCGCATAGCGAACCATCGGTTTAATTAAACCTAACGGCTTTATCTTTGAACCGTCGTAAAATTTTAGGATCAATGCACTATCTTGTATTCTATGATGCTTGAAGTATTTGTTATATGTATCCGCACTTATGCAAGATACGGCCGAGCCGGTATCAATTTCCATATTAATAGTAACCGCGTCAACTACAACGGGAAGACTCACCGGTCTGTAATCGTTTAGGCACAGGTGATGGAAGTTCTCCTCCAAGTTATCTCCGTCCAGGTCTTCCGCATCCGCGTAGTTCACGTCCGCGTTGTCAGCGCCCCGCCGCCCTCCGGCTATGCGTGCGCCCCGTTCCGGACACATTCGCCGCAAGTGACCCTTCCGCCTGCACCAATTGCACACATAATTACGGAATCGACATACCGCATACCGGTGATCCGTCCCTCCGCAGCATGAACAAGCCGCATAGCGGCTTCCGTTTCCATTGCCTCCGGCTGATCCTCCTCGCCAGTTCACCGCACCGGCTGACCCGCTGTGTCCGCTCGCCGCTCCGCCACGTGGACCGGGCGCGCCGCTCCGCGCCCCCTTCCCTCTTATTTCCTTAAGAGGAACGCATGCATGCACTGCCTGCGTCACCTGGCTACCACCGTCCAGAGGTTTCTCGACCGCCGCTGCATCACGCTCGGCCGCTTCCAATGTACTCGCTATTTTAACTGCCCTCGTATAGGTCAAAGTGTCGTCCTCCGCGAACAGGCGCTGCCGTATGACGTCACTTCTTAACCCACATACGAATTGATCACGTAGGTTCTCGTTAAGATTTGTCCCGAAAACACAATACCGTGACAATTTCTTTAGTTCCGCCACGTATTCTGACACATTCTCCTCGCCAGCCTGTCTACGTTGTCTGAATTTGTATCTCTCCGCGAGCACTGAAGGTGTCGGTTCTAAATGCTGTTGCAGTAATTCCACTGCTTCCTTGAACTTGAGCTCGGACGGCTTCCTGGGGCTGGATAAATTCACCAAGAGTTCATAAGCTTCCTCGCCCATTACCGCGATCAACGTCGGCAGTTGTATCTCCGCCTTGATGCCGTTGGCTAAGAAATACATCTCGAGCCGGTCAACGTACGACGCCCACGCGCCACTCCGCACGTCGAAAGCGCCTATCAGACCCACAGACATTATCGCACTTGTTTACACCGCGCAACACTCTAACCGCTCGAGCACCGCACAAAATACCGCACACGCGAGTATTTCGACTATCCTCGTCGCCACTGTAATGTTTGCAATAAAACACTGATATCAAGTCCAAGGCGTATAATTGACTGTATAATATCCTCTAGTGAGAGGTACTTTTACATATAAGTTTCCTAGATACCTACATCTCAATTAGTTCTGGAAAATAGCCGTATCACGCTCTACTGGGATCGATCTATTATTACGGATAGGACTATTGCTGCCAATACAGTAATAATAGATCGGTCCGAGAGCAGTGTAATGTTGGTCGATATCTCTATCCCAAATAACGAGAATCTTGAGAAAGCCGAAAATGAAAAATCATTAAAATATTTAGATCTCGCTCACGAGGTTACCGCCATATGGCGTATGAAATCGACTACCATTATTCCGATAGTTGTTTCGGTGCACGGGCTAATAGCGAAGAGCTTCGACCAACATCTCATGAAGCTCTTGCTAGACAGTTAGATTAAGTGCCCGATTCGATTCAAAATCAAATCGATAGTTTTGGAGTTATTTCAATACATACAAAAAACTTTGCACTTTACAATATTATATTATAACTGCACGACTGGCTACCTAATTCATTTTTTTTTTCATTCTCAGACCTGACTTCGAGGTTTTAGAAAAAACCCAAAAATCAAATAAAACGGGCATTGTCGTTGTCAAACATCGCGAATCTAAAACAAAAATATCTTTATGTTATATTGGTATCGTAAGTATGTTATTTATTGTTATTTAGTTCAACATTTTCTGCCTTTACTCGTACATCCGAAATGTCAAGTGTTTGGGACTACTAGAAGTACCTAAGAATTATGATAACACTTGCATTTATGTAAAATGTCAAGAAAACAATTAACGATATTTCGTAAACTACAAAATATAATTATAAAGTATTTTAGTTTGTAACGAGGTGTATGATGTTTGTTTATATCAAAAATTTCAAACGTCTAGCTTTATCTATAACTGTCATATTTATAAAATTATCAAAG